GGATTAATTCAAATATTCAAAAAATATTACAACAATAAATCAAGATAGATAGTAATCTCATCATGAGCCATAATTGAAGCCTATAATAAGTACATAACTGAAGTATCAAGGGCATTACTGGCAAAAATAGTTTTGAATCTACAAATAACAAGGATTAACATCCCTATCTATGGAGGAAATTTTATCCTATAAAAAAAATTCATTACTTACCTCGAGGCGGCAATCACGATACTCCTACAAATTTGACAGTTTTACTAGCAATCCTACACCAATTGAAAAAATAAAATATAAATGATTATGCAAATAAATTAATTTATTCATTAAATTAGGTGTTGCTTAATCAAAAATTATTAATACTATTATTCTTGTTATTAATTTATTATTGTTATTATTATTATTATATTTAAAAGAAAGAAGTTATGAACAGTAATCTAAAACAACATATTTTTTGTGTTTTGATAGGGATGAAATTTTTTTTATTTCTAAATAGAAGTTTTAAGAGATTTACATGCATCACCTATTCTTAATAATAACAACAAAAAGCACAATTAAAGCCTATATGTTCTAAAATCTTGTTTCTCCTATGGTTTGCCTTAACTTCGGGATTTAACAATTCCCGTTTTAGATGGATTTATGGGATTCAACGAAACTGATGCATGAGAGTGGCGGAGAGTGAAGGGAGAGGAAGATGAAGGTTACCTTCCTCGATGGTTTCTGATAGGAACGAACGAAAGAAGGAAGTGCATGTCGTGATCCCGTCGTTGCCTTTCTGGCTATCTTCACATTAGTACAAACAAGGGTCTCATGCTAGAGAACAGGAGGAAGAGGATCTAGAGAATGATACCGAGTGGTATGAGATATCAGGCACAAAAAAAAGGAAAAATGACGAGAGAGAGAGAGAGATAGAGAGAGAGCATGGGAGGAAGAAAAGGCAATATCACACATATGGGAAGACAACCATAATGAAGGAGAGAAATTAATCGCGTGATTACGATAGAGAAAGAAAAAAAAAAGTAAGTTGCAAATTTTTGGTTCTTACACAATTGATACGACAACTACTAACCATGACCTATGTGACTAACTACAACTCATTTGACTATCTACTACTACAGCTTTCAACTATAACCTTCATGACCAACTGACAATATTGCAGCTACTAACTACAATTTTTATGACAAAATATTATCTTTATATTAATCAATTACAGTCTTTGCTGCTCACTATCATTATTATCACTAAGAACTACATTTATTTTAGGCCAATTAAAATTATTAATGTTGGATGACTATTATACATTTGTAATTGTATCATCGTAATTTATTATTTTCTAATTCAAGAGAATAGTGCACCTATGTACTTACAATCATGCAGCGGATCACTTGACTCTGCTAGCTAGGCCTCATGATTTTTTCTTTTCAAGATTTTTTTCAAGTAAAAAATATTTAATTTATCCTCCTATTGCTTTTATTATTATATGTGTGTGTCAGATCTTCATGCAATACTAATACATTAAATATCACTTTACCACCAAAACTCTTCAAGCACACAACAATAATCTTTGGTAATTCTTATTTTTATTTCTCCATGCTTCATTGACAAATGAAATTTGAGTTCTAGTAAATTAAGTATATTTTTTTGGCTCATCACTGGAGTCTCATCATTCATCAAATTCATCTTTTCAAAATTAAAGTGAAACTATTTTTTGATAGTAAATTATAGTTGATTTGTAGTAAAGCTTCAGCGTCATGTTACAATGGAATAAATTATTTGGTCAATTATTGACGATGGAGAAATTCTTAGTGCTTGAGAACTCATAATGATATTTATATTCACGCGCATTAAACTCTCAGGGCTCGTTTGGGGCCGCTTATAAGGGTGGCAGCATTTTTGAAAACGCCGAATAATCATTTGGTTTGCGCGTTTTTGAAAATGCTGTCTGCCGTATTTTGGTTTTTTACACTAAAAGTAGGCCGTGGGTCGACCCCACGATCGACTCGCGGGCCACGTTTCAATATAAACTGTTTATCCTGAAACACACATGTTGCCCCTAAATAGATCCTCAGTCCCAAAAGTTAGAATTTATTTATTGTTTGTTTTAGAATAATGAACAATGGAAAATTTAAGTCTTCGAATTTTCATTTGACGTGCAACTCACCAACTCTAGGGCAGTCTTTCCCATTTTCGCGGGCCTGTCACTGCCTTGCGTTCAAGCACACTGCCGTCCCTCACGTTGTTTCTGGAAAGCAGACTAGAAACGCGCTCCGTTTTCTCAAAGTATGGATTTCTCCGAGCAGGACGTAGACGTCTCCGGAGACGATTACGGGCAAGATGAAGAGGGAGAAGAGGGAGAAGATGATCAACATCGAGGCGGCCACGCCGACGATGAAAATCGTAGCCACGATTCTTCTGGCTCCTCCCCGCCCCCCT